TGGCCACCATTGAAGTCCATTAATTGGAGAAAAACCCTGGCATGTTTTCCTCAAAAACCTTAATTTCTTTGCGACTGAAGACAGAAAGACGTGAACATCTTGGATGACATAGGGGTGAGTAAATTATCAGGAAATTTTTATTCTGGAAGTGAACTAATCCTTTAATTCCTCTGATGACACAGCAGCTATTATTTCAGTCTTCAGTGTCACATGATCCTTCAGAAATCATTCTAATACTGATTTGGTGCTCAAGAAATATTTCTTATTATTATTAATGTTCAAAAAACAGTTGTTCTGCTTAGTATTTTGGTGGAAACAAGTGTTTTTTTTTTCAGGTTACTTTAATGAATAGAACGTTAGAACTGTCCCCTATGACCAATTTAATGCATCTTTGCTGAATAAAAGAAATGTTATAAAAGAAATGAATTAAAAAAAATGTTTGAATGTTGGTTTCTATTACTATTTATTAGAGCTTCATCTTAAATCGAACAATTTAACATATGCATTTAACTATACTTTTTTTTTCTTTTTTTCTCTCATGCAGAGACACATAACCTGCCAAAGCAGCCTCCCTTGGCACTCGCCGTCGGCCAGGCAGCTCAGTGTCTGTCCCTCATGGCTCGCACAGGCAGCGGATCCTGCGCCTTCGCATCAGTGGATGATTACCTGCATTAACCACCGGAAAATCGTCCCTTTAAATTACCACGTGAAAGAGGCCCACATCATCCCGGACCATCCCAGACTCCCCAAAAAAACTGGGGCCAGCTTTGAAACCACAGCCTGATGAACTGAACCTCCACATGGCCAGACCCATCCTGGCTCTCTGACAAGACTGGATCCTCTTCACCCAGGTCTAAAACTGGGCCTAAAGACACTTTAGGAAGAGGGGTTCTTAAAAGTCAGATAAAATCCCCAATCATTATGGTCTTTTTTTCCTTTTGTCTTTTTGTTTTGGGGGAGGGGAGGAGGTGTTGGGTGCAGCAAGCTCTGATTGTTTTTTTCCTAATTTACAAGGCATGAGGAAAATTATTATGACATAATTAATGTTATTATCAGTAAACTTGCATATAAGATATATTTGTTCTTGGTTGAAAGCTGGCAGAGTGAACGAGGCCGAATAACTAAGGTCCCACTGCGGCAACACCCTGCTATTTTCGGGTCTCAGCTTGTGTACTTTACCATTTAAAAAAGAAAAAAAAAGAAAGAAAAAATATTGATATTATATTAACACGAGGAGTGGAACATTTAGTTATCTTACAGTTAAAAAAATGTAAAATCCAGAAAACCTAACACTGCTGGAGTCATCCTTAGTGGTGTTATTTAGAATAGAGCGTTAGTGTGAGCTGTCTGAGTTATGCCCTTTTTTGTGCAAGCGCACCCTCCCTCTGCCAACTGCACAGCAGGATTGATGCAATGTTCGGACACTTTGATTTGTAATTCTATTGATGTCTATGGTCTTTTCATCCACCCGATCTCTTACGCCTTCTTTTAAAAAGTCCATATTCAGGCGTTCTCTCATCATTGTTGCCTGCACTGTGTTTTTGTGCAGTTTGGATGTGCGACAGGAACATGGTGAAATTAAGATCATATCCAGTCCTAGAGAGGCTAGCCTGATCCATTGTTTTTTCTCCTCTTGTTTACCAGTCAATCCTTCAGATCATCAGTACTTTTAAAACAAGGAGAATGGTACAGTATTGTCATCAACACTGTCTTATCATTTTCAGTAATAAAACGTAAATACCCAGTTGAACGAGATATACCCGTCTGTTTTGACACATTTCAGCGAGCGCTCGGGTGTTGCTCCAGTATTAAGTATGCGATTACACCACGAAGAGCATTAATGATGCCAAACTAAGTGTCTTCTCACATATTTAAAGGAATAGTCCACCCAAAAGTGAAAATTGTGTCCTCATTTACAAACTTGTAAGACTTTGGTCAATCTTCAAACATATTATATGAAGATATTTTTATTGAAACCTGAGAGGTTTCTATCTCTCCATTGAAAGTCCAGGTAAGCAAAATGTAAAACAATCCATATGAATCAAACAGTTTAATGACAGTTTTGTGAAGATGACATCATTTTAAATGATAACCAGATTTAATTAGGCTTTTATTTACATCTAAATGATGATAAACACACATACATAGAGCAAATGTCATATGGTAAACATGGAAGCTTGTATGTTTGTATATTTGTGAATTAAATCTGTTCATCATATAAAGCAATTATATCTCTTTACAAGACTTGTATTAAACTGCTTGATTCATATTAAATCGTTTTATAATGCCTTAATCTTTATGGATCTTTTAAGTTGTGGTCACCTAGACTTTTAATGGAGGGATAGAAACCTCTCCGGTTTAATTAAAAATGTCTTAATTTGTGTTTTGAAGATTAAACAAAACCTTATGGGTTGGGAACAACTTGAGTAAATGACAGAATTTTTATTTTTGGGTGAACTTTCCTTTTAGCTTCCTTGTAAAATTCTATAACCATGACTTGTTAATTTGGTCATCAGAGTCATTTAGTTTAATAAAGCCAATCTTATGTGCAAAGTAACTGACACATGAATTGTTATTCCTTTGATCAGGTTTACATTTATTGACGGGTACAGTAAATATTCAAACTTAAATTTACATTCAGCTTCTGCCTCTAGTAAAAAATTTTAAGTTTTAATTTGTACACAAGATGTAAGGCAAGTCATTTCTTTTAAAATGACAATCTTATTTGATAAGGTTTAATATTTTTAAACTATATGAGGCTCAAAGAAAAAGGTTTGAAATAAAGGTGTCCTTTTGAAAGATATGATCCACAAGGTCAAAAACAGCTGGATGATGGAAGCCGTCTCCAGATGTGACAGTTTTCATGCGTTGAACTCATAATTAAGCAGTTCTTTCTCCTGTTTTATGTCTCAGTAAGGAATCAGTTTCTGCTGGCGTATAAACCGTTTGTTGGACCTTGTAATCCTCGCTTTTTTGTAAGCACCTATAAATGAATAAAAACAGCTCAGCCTGTTACTTTACAAAACATGTTGAGGACATAATATACTTGCTGAACATGAAAATCTCACTACTCACCCAATTTTTTATTCGCAAACTCCACAGCTGCACCTTGGCTCGGACCCCTTTTCTTTTTGAGGGACAGAAGCTCTGCATCTGAAGATAAATATACACACAAATATTTTGCATTTTCAGTTGGTCTACAAAATCTGGTAAAAAAGAAAGGTCAATGCATGAACTTACTGGTTGTTCTTTTGGTTCCTGATCCATAAAGGCGGGACTGAACGAAGTCCATGGCCCTTTGTTGCAGTGATTTGGCAGCGGATTCATCCTTTATCCTCATTACTCTGTAGCTGACTGGTAAACTGAAATCAGACATTTTCCATATCTACACTTGGAACCCTTTCAGTATGATGAATGCAAACACATACTATTATTATTACCTTTTTGAGGTTTTCTTAGGCGTGGTCCCTGTCTCCTGTTCCTTATCTATAAAAGAGTTGTTTGTCATTCAATACTGACCAACAGAGAAAAAATGTCTAAAGTTATAGAAAATTACAAGGTTAGAGATTTTATTACCTTTATTGTTGTGTGATGGCTTTGGTGATACCTTTTTGTTAATACCTTTATTGTCTGATGGATCTGTCTGTCTAAAATGAAGGAATAACAATCTATTAAGTTTCCAAAATGATTTAAGGAATCCAATTGTTTCTATTCAGCTGGGGAACTTACTTTTGGGGTTCTGTATCAAATTCCTCCAAGAGCTCTTGAGGAAGAAGTTTTCTCTTCTGAAAAACAAGAGATATAACATTTCACGATATTTTGCCTAATGCTAAATATACAGTTTATTGTGAATTACGTTCAAGTGCATAAACTTTTGTTGATAATAATAATAATGTAGTAGACATCCTGAGGACAGTATTCACCACCCTGTACCTTTTGTTCTTGAAACAGCTGTTGTCTCTTTCTTCGCTTCTCCTTCAACAGGTTCTTTTCTCTGAAAACAAAGTGAAAAACAAAAATGTTTACACCGCATGTGCTCTGTGTCTGAAGCCAGTGGACTCACTCACAGACCTTTTGGCTGCATCCAGTGCATCTTTAACGCTCTTCAGAGCGGCACTTTTGGACGCATCAAAGGCGACCTCCTCTGGGAGTTCATCATCACTGGATTCAAACTGAGTCTGTGTCAGTTCAGACATTTTGTCAGTCTCTTTAAACGTATTCAACCTGACTTTAGTACACACGCTGGACGGGACTCGCCATATTAAAAAACCAACAACACTAAACGTACATTAAAGACAGGCAGACTAAATCAAAAGTATTGGCAGCAATAGATGCTGCCATCTGGTGGTCCGGATGTCTCAGCTAGATCTGCTCGTAAAAAAACTGATGCAAATGGCGTCGTTTATAATAACAGCACATACTGAAAATATAAAGATGTCTGTTTTGTCATATGATCTATATGTAACACATTCTTTCAATGCACAGAAGTACTTATTGTTCATCATTTCTAGATGAAGAACAAAAAGAGAAAACACTAATAACATTTATTGTTGTTACCTCCATATAAACTTACAATACTGATCGTTCAAATTGTGCGCCATTATTGTGGTGAAATGTTATGGTTCCTTACAACAAAAATGTAAATAATACATTAAACAGGCGAATATACACATTAATAATATACATTAATAAAAAATGTATTATTATTATTATATTGATAATTCAAAATGCTCATTGTTATTATGGTGAAATCTTCTGAATGGTTCGTTACAACAGAAACAAATGTAATGCAAATAATACGTTTTTAAATATTATAATTATTAAAAAATTATATAATGTTATTAGGAATACATTTTAGTAATAAAACATGATCTTAATATTTTTTCAGATAATGGAAAATAATTATATGGGTTTGTCATACGGTTGGATATATCTGACCAATCGGTGTTTCTGACGTGTTTGTGACATGGATGCTGCTGGTGCATTTTGGCATTTTGGATTAGGCACCAGCGCAGACGCTTTCTGGAATATCCTCTACTCCACTCATAGGCCTTTGAATAGCTGTGTGAAAAATTAAATCTCATGTGATTATAGCTTTGCACCAACAGACATGTCAGGCTTTGTCGTTTTTGCTCTAGCATTCTCGTTGTCCGCGACGGTGCCTTGTCTGGGCTTTCCTCCGTCAGGAGCGGCAGCGCCGCAGCCCTGTGTCGCGCCGTTACAGTGGGAGGGTCGGACCGTTGAATATGATCACGGGACGGGACGAAACACACGGGCGGCGGTCTCCTATGATGCACAGAATCAGCGAATTAGGGTCCTGGAGCAGAAGACTGGACACACACCATGTAAAAAGTAAGAATTCATCTAATGTTATGAAATAGATTTTAATATAAAAAAAATTAAACTCAGTGTGCTATTTTTATGTTGTTTTCTAAATATCTAAAAAAAAAATTATTTAAATTTAGTTGAGAATCAAAACTAGAATTTATAAAGTCTTTGTTTCCTAAAAAAATATATCAAAATAAACTATTATAATCATAATCATTATTACACCAACTATATTTAAAAATAAACTTAATTCAAAGAGAAAACTTTTTTTTTCTTACTCCACAGATATTTTGTCTTGTTTTTAAGCTTAAAGTCTTTCAGTTTTGATTCTGAAAACAAGTCAAGTCATTTTACTTCTCAGGTAAATGTATCCTGATTTAATGTTTAGATAGTTGTATAGGAAAACTAGAAAGACTGAGTAGGAAATTATTATTATTATTATTATCAGTAGTAGTGTAAGTAAATTTTATTTTATGTTTATAGGCCAGTGCAAAATCTGCTTGACATCTTGAGCTATTGTTCACCATTGTGTAGATGCAAATGATTTATTATTGTCAAAATTAGAATGGCCACACACAACTGAATCCAGTGTTGGGGAAAGTTACTTTTAAAAGTAATGCATTACAATATTGCGTTACTCCATAAAAAAGTAACTAATTACGTTACTTAGTTACTTTTTATGGAAAGTAATGCGTTACTTTACTAGTTACTTGAAAAAAGTAATCTGATTACGTAACTCGCGTTACTTGTAATGCGTTACCCCCAACACTGACTGAATCACTATAACTGACTGAATTGTATTAAAAAAGCATGCAAAAATTGCTTGCATTAAAAGTATTTGCATTGTGCAATTGTCTTTGAGGTTCTTTGAGTACATCTACTTGTTCAAGAGTGGAGTGCTTTTCCAAATTGAAGAAATTACTAAGCAGTGTGCAAAGATCGCTCTGACGGAGGCCTGGGACCCTTATGATATTCCCCTGAACTCCACATACGAGGACCAGTATTTCATTGGAGGACCTGGAGACATGATCGAGGTCCAAGAATGGTCTGATCGGAAACCAGCTCGCAAAAGTATGCTTATTATAAGTATGTTTATACAGGACCTGTAATGTGGTCCTGATTTGCATGGTCAGAACTTTGCACATTTTTTCTGTCTTTCACAGATGAAGCTTGGGTTGGTGTGTACACTTTGAAGGACTGCTATCCCGTGCAGGAGACATACACCAAAAACAGTAGCGTGACCACGTCCACTCGCTTCTTTGACCTTCAGCTGGGCATTAGTGACCCTGGGGTGTTCGACCCACCCAGCACCTGCCAATCAGCTCTGACTGCGAAGATGACGTCTGACTGCTGAATACGTTACTCTGCATTACATGCACAATATACATTAACCATAATACAGTAGGCTTAAATAAACAGCTTCTAAATAAATGATATTACACTGACAAAGAGCACATGAAATGAGTGCAGGTACAGTTAAATATAATAGTTCTTGTTGATTTACAGTGGGAAATGTGCCTCACATATTATTGAAGCATCATTTTTAATATGCCACATTTTGGGCAAATTACAAGTTGTGCTGATCCAGGGTGGACTAATATAGCACTTAATTTTTTGTTTGACGGTTAATGTTCTGTTCATCTTATTATTTTATTGAGCCTTTAAGATGATTTACAGTGTGGATGCTTACAGTTAATTACAAATGTTAAAGAAACTTCTAGAATTTGAATTTGATTTCAATAAAATTGTTTACCTCACGACCACCGCTGTTGAGCAAATTAATGTAACAATATATACATTTTTAAGACAATAAATCAAGGATGTTTTGCATAGAGAAAGATTTCAGCAAAATAGCTGTAGTTGAGTACATCTTTTAATTAAAGTGTTGTTTTATTTAAAATAAAGACCTGGCTATATACAGTGGGTATAGAAAAGAATCATCCACCTTTTAAATAATCAAATTTCGTTGCTTTGCAGCCTGAAATGAAGATGGACACTGGACAATGCGTTTATGTTTTATCCAGCTGTATTTACTCAGTGCAACTTATAACATCCAAGTGAAAGACAACACCAACATGTCAGAAAAAAAAGGATCACCCCCTCCTAAAAATGACTTGTAAACTCAGTCAGGTGTAGCTAATCACCTTCTCAGTGGCACACAAATCCATTTGACTTTCAACTGTGGTCAGCTGTGGTCATTTTGAGTAGCTCAGCATGAAAAGAGCTTTCCTGGAGCGTTTCAGTCCTTGGTAGTGCAACTGAAGCAAACAATCAACTATGGGCGGCAAGGTACCGTCAAAAGATCTCCGGGATAAAGTTGTGGACAGCCACAAGTCAGGAGATGGATACAAAAAATTCAAAGGCTTTATCAATGCCTAGACGCACAGTGAAGTCCATTATCAAGAAGTGGAAGGTATTTAGTACAACACAGACCCTACCTGGATCAGGACGTCACTCCAAACCGGATGAAAGAGCTAGGAGGAAACTGGTCAGAGAGGCTACCAAGATCCAGAAGCCTACAGCAACTCTGAAGCAGCTGCAGGAATTTGAGACAAAGAGTGGTCATTGTGTGCCTGTGACAACAATTCTTTATTCTTTTCTATATCCACTGTAATTTGATAATTAACATTATAAAAGGACATGAGTTAACATAATGTTATCAAGTAATGTTTGATACAAGAATACAGTGACTCAAAAACTAAGGCAAGGCAAGGCAAGTTTATTTGTATAGCACATTTCATACACAATGGTAATTCAAAGTGCTTTACATAAAAGAAAAGAAAAAAAAATAATCACAACAATAAAACAAGGAATTTAAAAACATTGAAAATGATTAAAACAATTGATTTAAGAAGTTTAAAATGAATTTAAGAAAACGATTATACATAAAATATAGTGCAATCAGTTCGGACTAAACTGATTTCACACATCAACTAAAATGACCTTCACTCTGGTTGTCAAAAATGACTCTGAAAACTTTTGTTTGTTCTGAGAGAAGCTCTAATATCATTTGTTTGTAGATTCCACTTAGTTGTTTTTTTCTTCTTCTTTCTAATTCGACGAAATTAAAACAATTTGGACTTTTAGGGCTATTTACTGGATGTTGTATAACTGTATATAGTGAATGAATTACAGTCGAACAGTGAATTGGCCTGACGCAGTTCCGGATTCTACTACATATCCCAGAATTCCCTTTCCAAAACAACATCACACTATTTCCTGTATGACTGAAACGAAAGTCATTATATGGTGCGGAATTTTTAACGACACCGGTAGATCCTCACCGATTTATCGGTTGACTGTAATACAAGGCGTACTTTTATAGGATTGCACAGCAAGGTAAGCGACATGATCGATAGCTCACATTTATTTTGATAAACCAATGCTAATATGACAAGAAATGAACCAGTGATGTTCTGTAAATTGACTCGATGTAATCAGATAGGTTTTCATAAGATATTGTGAGTGTAGGATTGTTCATTTCGTTTGTTACCATTTTAGTTAGCATGATAGACATCTGTGGTGTGTAATTATGAATGACACTGTGTTTCAAATTATGTGAAATTCGCGCTGCTTTTCCTGCTATACCGCTGTATTATCATCATGCTAGCCCAAAGCATAAAAATTGGTTTGGCAGAGTTCTGAAATAACCACTTCACAGCATAAACAAAAAGTAGTTTAAGATAATTTAAGAGTCATGGCAGCAATGAAGTCAAATTTCCCATACAAGTTATTATCAGTAAGGGTAGTCCAGAATAAAATGAATTACAGCAAAAAGTCAGTTCACTTCTCGTGTATGTCTTTTTAGGGTAAGCAAATATCCTGCCTAGTGTAATTAAGTCTGTCTTACAGAGTGATATGCAAACTATGCAGTCCATAAGGCATGAGAATTCCTGTGCTGGTTGTTTTTCGGTAAATGACATCAGTAAGAGGAACTTGTCCCAATAACCAAACAGACAGTTACTGTTCTCTTAAACTCTTGCCTGTTTTTTAAATGTTTTGCAGTGCTTCCTGATAAGACTGGCTGGACTACATTTTCATGCTGCGTTACTATAATTAAGCCTAGGTACTGTTCACTTACCACAACAGTCCTTGCAACTGTGATCAAAAAGCTTTGTTGATTTTAGCAGGATTAATCCACTTAAAGACTTTTGGCTGATAGCTTTGTAATTCTCAAGTGACATGATGTAAAACAAGTTAGAACATTATCTTTTCATCATGATTTTACATAATCCTGTTTATTACACAACTACTTCATAAATAATATATGGACCCAAAATATGAATTTAAGTTGAAATTATTATTCAAAGTTACTTATCAGGGTTTCCTGAACAAGCGGTTGGTTATACATTGTTGTCATGGGCAGCGGGTTATTATTCCACATATTTTACTGCTGAATGCTTTGTTTGATCAGAATCAAGTATTCCAAAGAGGAGTGTAATGGAGTTTTAAAACGAACACGCACTAGTGTAAATGTAGCCTAACAGGTGTGTAAACTGAAGACTATTTGAGCTTTATTAAAACTATTTGCGCTGATTTATTGTGTTGGTTACATTTGTGTTCCTTTGTGCAATGGCTCAGGAGATGAGTCTTTGAGATTGTATAAACATCAACAAGCTGAATAATAAAACCAAAGTTTTTTTTTTTTTAGATGATGTAATCTTGTTAAAATTGATTTCATAAAATTGGTATCGGAAAAAGTATCGTTCAGGAACCGGTATCGGTATCGATATCGAAAATTTTTGAACGATACCCAGCCCCACGTGTGTGTGTGTGTTTTGGGTATATCCACTCAGTGACTGTACAGAATGTTTGGTGGTTTTGTTGATTTTAAGACATCACAAGTCCTGATCAAAGGACAGTAATAACTATAAACCTTTGATCGCTGTGTAAAATGCCTCCACTTTGCATGTATTTCAGAACTAGGCATGACTACAGAGTCTGGCTTTCCAGAAGAGTGAGTGTGAATGGAGTGACACGAGTGGACGGGACTGACGAGTCATGGACAGCCAATGCAGCAGCAGTGTGGGCAACATTAACTCAACACACATTTCTGCCCGTATCGAGTCCTATGAAGGAGAGAAGAAGTGCATCTCTGATGTCCGAAGAACATTTTGCTTGTTTGTGACCTTTGACCTTTTGTTTGTCACCTTGCTGTGGATCATTGAGCTCAATGTATGTTGTAGTAATACATTTCCACGAGATATTATTAATAATGTGAAGTTCTTAACATCTTTTAAATATATGTGAAAAAACACCAGTGTAATACTGATTTAGTTGCACTGCATTTTGTTTGAATGCATATATAAGTTTTTACATTTTTTGTTTATCTTTATCCAGGTCAACGGAGGAATACAAGAGCAGCTGAGAAAAGAGGTGTTGGAATATAATTACCACAAATCTTTTTTTGACATATTTGTAAGTACTGGCTTATACAATACCCTCTATTTCAGAAATATGACCTTAAAATTTGAGAAGGAATTTCAAGTAAATATTTTAGGTCAGATGAGTTTGGCTGAGAAAAAAGTTTGGGAATTCCTAACCTATTGCACAAGAAAATAGGACCGGCTTTTTAAGATATATTACATTTTGATGCTTTAGCAGGGAAATCACCAGCCTTTATAGGTGTGAATAATGATGAAACTGGTGGTGGTAAAATATTAGGGCCAGTCCATCCCACAGTTCCCTTTTCAAGGATGACTCTTCTCACTTAACATATGACCTCACTTACGCTCTTTCAACCACAGTTTCTGCCCAGGAAAACTTAGGCCTGGTTTCACAGACAGGGCTTAGATTAAGCCAAGATTAGGCCTTAGTTAAATTGGGACATTTAAGTAGTTTTTTAAAAATGTGCTTTAGAAAAAACATTACTGGTGTGCATCTTGATACAAATCACTGGCACACATATTTTAAGGCATGTCAGTGCAAGCTGCTTTCAGTCAAGACAGCGCAATCATGCATTTTAGTCTAGGACTAGGGTTAAGCCTTGTTTGTGAATTAATGATTAATGATCTAAAAGGGATAGTTTACCCGAAAATGAAAATGTTGTAATCATTTACTAGCCTTGATGTCGTTCCAAATGTGTATGACTTTTTTTCTCCTGTGGAACACAGAGGAATATATTCTGAAGAAAGTTTTGTGCATATACTGTAAGTCAGTAGCGTACAAAATAACAAAGAACCTTACTGACTTTCATTGTATGACATTTTTCAAAGTATCTTCTAGAGCCCGACCGATATGTTTTTTTTTGGGCCCGATACGATACCGATATTTGGGAGTTTAAAAAAAAGGCCGATATCGATATATTGGCCGATATTCTTTGTGAATATTATAGTACAGTACCAGTCAAAGGTTTGAACACTTTCCCATTCGTGTGTCCAAACATTTGACTGGTACTATATATAGAATACAGTATATACATAAACAGAATATATATACATAAACACATTTTTTGCAATGATCACTCAAATGTGGTGATGAAACACTTATAATTCACTTTGGAACATTCATTCACGGATTTGCGCTACTGTCTTCACACACAGACGGAACTTACTAGAGAAGTGTGAAGTAATTTACCTCTGTAAATAAATACACATAATTTACCTCTGTAAATAAATATAAATTCACGTCTCGTGCACTTTAATGCCCTTTGAATGCAACGTGTATGTTCCCTTGGAACTGGAACCATTGCGGAATTTCATGTAAAGTCCACTTCGCAGGGCACTTGTGGTCGAATAAGACAACGCTTGAATGCTGCTGCCTGAACAAGAGACCTCCTTACTGAAGTGAAAGTGTTGGCTGGTGTCACTATCTCGCGAACGCGCCGGCGGATCTCCACCAAATTCGGGGGATCCCTTCAGCTCGAGGAGCCCTCTCGAACGCCACCCTCCGCGCTTCGGTAGCCCCCCGGGATCGCTAGATCGGTTGGCGCCGGACCGCGAATTTAACCACCCGTAACTCACGAACCCCGGGGGCTATTGACGCGGCAGTGGTCTCATTCGAAAGAGGGCCTCGAGACGTACACTCGATTCGCGTTCGAGAGGGTTCCTCGAGCTGAAGGGATCCCCCGAATTTGGTGCGGATTCGCCGCGCCGTTACGGAGATATGGCCGTTCAAAGTTTCAATGGTTTTCCATAGACTTAAGCTTATCGGCGACAGGCTCATATCGGCCGATAATATCGGCGAAACGATATATCGGTCGGGCTCTATGTTCTTTATCAAAGAAGGAAAGCCTTACAGGTTTGGAACAACATGCATGTGAGGACATGATGACAGAATTTAACTATTTAACCCTTCTATCTAGGGGTCACATGCTTATAAAATGGTTTGTTTCCTTGATATACACATCTAGTTGTTCTTTGGTGCACTGAAATGAGAGTTTAAAAAATGTTGTTTTTAAATGTTTAAATGTGAGAGTTCCTGTTATAGTGTGATGCTGGGTTGAAAAAAAAGCATGTTGTTCTTGTTACTATTTTTTCAAGACAACTCTGTATTTGGGACATTAGCCTGTGCAGACTTTGCCCTGTAAGCTGTTGTGTGGTCTAAATTTATGCTAATACACAGTGATGCCATTTTTAAAATGCTACCTCACCGCATTCTTTAAACTGAAGTTTTAATGTAACAAATCGTTTATGAAATGTTGATAAACCAGTCTTGAAAGATTTATTACATTATACACTACCATATGAAAGTTTTCAGACTTTAATGGTCACCAAGGCTGCAAAAATACAGTAATATTATAAAATATTATTACAATTTGTGACCCTGGACCACAAAACCTCTCAAGTCTCAAGTCGCTTGGGTATATTTGTAGACAGGGATGGGCAAAGATACATCAAAATGTATTTTAAAATAAAATACCAAATACCTTAATTTTAAGTGTATCAAAATAAACTACAAAATACAGCAGCCACACCAAGTATCAAAATAAACTAATGTATTTTTGTATTTTAAAAATACTAAAAAATACTGACCCAATATGACTGGTTTTGTGGTCCAGGGTCACATTTAAAATGTTTTCTGTTTTTGTATATTTTTAAAATTTAATTTGTTCCGGTGATGGCAAAGCTGAATTTTCAGCAGCCTTAAGTGTCACAAGATCCTCCCTTCAGTGGTCAAGAAACCAGAAACCAGAAAGAAAGAACTTTCTTATTATCAATGTTGCATATATGGAAGCAAAGGATAATGTTAGTGTATGAATGTTTGTCTCCTCAGCTCTTGGCTGTGTTCCGCTTTGCAGCCTTGATTCTGGCCTATGCAGTGTGTAAGCTGCGCCATTGGTGGGCCATTGCGGTAAGTGGCTAAATACTTTATATTTCTCCATCCTCCACCAGAGGGCATTGTTGCTTTGCTATAAATTATTTTTAATAATTTGCGGGATTTTTCTTAGTCCAGTTCTTAACATGAGTTGCTCGATTAAAATAATTCGACTAAGCTTCACTTAAACGTATAGTTGTATGGTTTTAAAAGTTGTGTAGATTAATGTAATGATCATCATATCTCTACATTTCTTCATTACAGATAACTACAGCAATTACAACTGGTTTTTTAATAGTGAAAGTAGTTGTATCAAAGGTATGAGATGTTTTTCATTCAACTTTTTTATTAGAGATTTATAAACTTTTTTGCATTGACCCAAAAATGTTGTTCTGTTGTCCAGCTTCTGTCACAGGGAGCTTTTGGGTATTTGTTGCCCATTGTCTCCTTCATTCTGGCATGGATAGAGACGTGGCTGCTGGACTTCAAAGTCCTGCCCCAGGAGGCTGGTGATGAAATCAGTGAGAATCTATTATCTAATTACAGTGAGACGAGAAACAGTAGTCATAACAATGATCACTAAAGGCTAATGGACATAGATGACATTATAACTTATGCTGATTGGGACTCATTTGCTCTTACAGTATGTCAGTATCATGGTGTTTAGCTAACACGTGTGTCCTGTGTGATAGGGCATCTTTCAGTGCAAAATGCACTAGATCGAGAACCTCTTTTATACCCAGGACCCGTTTCAGAAGGCCAGTTCTACTCTCCTCCTGAGTCCATGGCAGGTAATAAATGACTAACTGTTCAATACTAGCAGAACAAGCATGGAAATGGTTCTCAGGGCCACATGGAAACCTACAGTCATGTCTTTTATAAGTTGTAATAACTTGTTCTGTCTGGTTCATTGATTAAACGATTAGTGACTTTGCAACATTTTGTGGATGTTTATGTATTGTTTATTTTTTTGTTTGTTACATTTTTTTGTAGTCATTGTTTATTTAAACCGATCACGGTTACAAACGAGGGATATAATGCTCTCACCACGTTTATACAACATTAACAGACACATATTTTCCAGGAAATGCCACTGTCAGAGCTCAGGTGCACTGCGGTGAGCGGTTTGAGATATTCAAGGAAAAATGTATTTAGAGGTGTTGCAGCTGTATTAAAGAGCTTTGCGAAAATATACCATTTCCTATTAATAAATTGTAGATTTTGCTCCATTATAATTTTATATGTAATACACACTAAAGTTGATTATTTGTATGGCAAATATCATATATTAAGTTGGGTGTCCACCTCAGAGATAATCACCATATTTATAATAACACCATCATATATAAAAATATGATATTAATCATATCATATAATACAATATCGTATTTATTGTTACTACTGTAAGATTACATTCAATTATTATGGGTTCTCCTTCAGTGCTTCCGGAATCTTTATTATTATAATTCTTTCTATTCTGGACAATGAATATTTTAATGACAGTGTATTTATTAAACTAAAAGAAATTATTTTATTTATCAAAATAAACAGAAAACAGCACAAACCTTGCTAAAATGATTGTTTTGAACAACTATTACCTCGGATACTATTCAAAACTATTCTAAACATAGTACTTTAGTTAAAGTATTTGTATAAATACTTTGAGCCTTTTGCCCCATGCTGGGGATCCTTTTTACCACCTGTGGTGAAAAGCCCACCTTGCCTCCTTATAAACTTATAAGATGTTTCAACAAAACAAACCACTTTTATGATATATTTTCACACAAAATCGGTTCCAAAATCTACTCCACACATATGTATATGTATGTGTATATATATGTGTATATACACACAGACACACACACACACACACACACACACACTGTTCAAAAGTTTGGAGTCAGTATTTTTTTTCAAACTGCATATGCCGGAATCAAGGCTGCAAAACACAGCCAAGAGCTGAGGAGAAAAGCATTCGTATACAACTGTTATCTTTTACC